TCACATCTTAAATATCAGGCTACACTCCAGACATAGTGGAACACATGCATTCAGAAAGCCTCACAATTAATGTCACATTCTTCATATGCAGTATAGGCCAATATGCAACCCTCAGTATGATGACATGTGGGATGTTTTGTTTGCAGGAACAATGGTGCATTCACACAATCAAGGCAGGTGTCGGTGATGCAGTGGCTAAACTTCTATATGATTTAGTAACCTAATAAACAGTTGTGAGAATGGAGCCTGTAGTTTGGCAGATTGTTCACGGACATGTCAGATTTATGAATCCTACTTCTGTCTGTGGCGAGAGTGGAGGGTAGTAGCACTGAGACTTATCAGCAGAGAAGAGAGCGGGCGAAGTGTCTGCACTGTCAAGGCAACCATGATAGTGCTGGCCACGAGGGATTAAGAGGAGATGTAGCTGCGATAAAAACAGAGCAGCACTGAGACTAACTCGGCCAGTTTCTTGAAGTCAAGAAACAAGAGACTTGATTGTCAAAGTGCGTGCACACACTCGGCTGGATAAATGCATTTTGTTTTGGTTTTTTGTCATGATTTTATAGGAAATCAGTGGAAATAGACAGTGATGAATGGTGCCAGGATACTTTTCTTTTTGCACTGTAAGCAGGGAGAGACTTAGGAAGATTCTAAAGGTTACAAGCACAAATATTATTGATGCCAACATATCAGGTTAGTTAGTTGCTGAGTGGTGTGTGTGGAGAATCTTCTTGTGAAATGATTTGTGAAAGGTCTCTGTCATTCTTAAAATGACAATTTTGAATGCTAACTTACATATCACTATCAAAAAAAGGAAAACAGACAGCTCCATAGGCCTGGTTAAAATGTAGCAGTGCGGACAGAGCTATTCAGCAAATTGTAGACAGATTAATATTTATGTAAATGACTTGTACCTTGTACATGCTGAATGCAGAATATACAGTAGTAGCTCTATCAAATGCTCTCTGACTCCACCTGCTGGTTTTATTTAGCACTTATATGCACACAGACGTCATGTTACAATCTGCTGAAAGACCATCTACTGTCACTTCTGAATGCCTGCGATGCCACTTTGCAGGCAGCATAGAGAACAAACGTTTCCCTTAAGTTGCTGTTCAGTCCCATGTCGTGCCAGTTAAACCTGAGGGGGGTGCTGTTCTGTGGCTGACCCTCCTGGCCTGTGTGGAGCTGTGTCAGGAAAGGCAGATGATTAAAGCCGACGTTTGATCTTTGTGCCAATGTTCAAATTTTTCATATTCAACAATTTTCCTGCCAGTTGGCCAGGAATTTCAGTACAAGTGTTCTGTGAAGCTGAGAAGATGGAATACAGCTTGCTAGGGTTGGTTTCTGATGTGTCACCCTGTAAAGATAAACTAATCAACTATGATTCATCTTCCTCTAAAGGGAAACTCAGTAGAATGAATAACCCATAGGATTTTTTTGGTCTCATTTTTTAAATACATTTTTGGCATTTTTGTGCCTTTATTAGTGGGTCGACAGAAGGGGGGAGATCAGGAAATAAGGGGACGGAGAGATGCGGGACAACATGAAACAAAGGTACCCTGTCCTCGAACCAGAGACATTGTGGTATATGTCAGCATCTTGAACCCAAAACCCCCAGTTCACCTAAAAGGATGAAATGTAACATTTGACATCTGAGACTACTTCAGGCTCCTTTCCTCCTGTGGAAACAAAAGCAGTTTTCTTTGATATTCTACATAGTCCTGATCACAGAACAACAACAAAAAAAGTTCCCTTGGCAGTTTGACACAATCTATTACAAGTATGTGGTAATCATTTCTTATATGATCCAATTATCAGAGAATAGGATTTTGTCAAAATAAATGAAAACACAATTTTCTTTCCGTTCTCATTAAGCTGTCTTTAATTATTCAGTGTGGTGTGCTATCATTTTGAAACATGCCCCAAGTCCATTGGCAAATCTTCAGAGGGATTGTTAGGATTTTTAACCGCATTCCAGTTCGCTGCCCCTGTGAAATTGTTTATACTGCCATAAAAAACTATCCTGTCTCCAAAAAGAAATTTTTCAATTTATAATATCAGAAAAGTCAAAAGGAAAATAGCTCTATAGCAGGAAAACATCCTGCTGAAGCTCCAGTGGGGCCTTACCTGTCATGCAGTGGTTCTGGGTCAGTGAAGGAACTCCATGGGGATCTCCATCTAAAGGGAGACCAGTATCATTTTCTTTCTGTACACTGTAAAAAAAAAGTACATTTACTGGGTTTTTCCTGTCTATTTTACAGATTTCTTCTTTTTTTACATAAAAAGATATTAAAAAAAGATTATAAATTAATAAATAATAATGTTAAACTGTAAAATAAAATAAAAGTTTAATACTGTTGATACATTTCTAAAATTATGGGAAATTTGTGACAATTAAAGGTTAAGAAAAGCATTTGTTCTGTAATTTTACATGGACTTGTTTGTTAATTGACAGATATATATATATATTCCAATTATCATATGCTCTAATCAGCCGTATAAATCTAACCACCTGGGCACCCTGGTGCTCATAATGTTCTGCAGCCCCATACCAACAAACTGCTCTGCACTGTGTGTTCTGACACCTTTCTATCAGAACCAGCATTAACTGTTTCAGCAGTTTGAGCTACAGTAGCTCGTCTGTTGGATCGGACCCAATTACGGGCCGCCTTCCACCCTCCACACGTGTATCAACTGAGCCTTGCCACCCCAATGACCCTGTCTCCGGTTTACTGGCTTTTCCTTCCTTCGAGCACTTTTGATAGGTACTGACCACTGCAGACCGGGAACACCCCACAAAAGCTGCAGTTCTGGAGATGCTCTGTCTCAGTAGTCTAGCCATCACAATGTGGCCCTTGTCAAAGTTACATGGTGTATAAACTTATGGAAGAAATGTTGAATAATATCAAAAGCTGAAAACAGCCATAATTACTGTAATTTCACAGATGGTGATATCTATTATTACAGTTCTATAAATTTAGATTAAAATAATAATAATAAAAATCAAATGATGACAACACTCTTTAAGCCTGATTATTTGTGTTCGCCTGAATTATTATATGTAATTTTATTGTTTTTACATGTGTAAATATATTTCATTTTACATTAAAAAAGACCCAAAAACTACATAAGATTATTTTAATGATAGAAGATTACTATACTTATTATTTTACAGTATTTATTTGGTGCTCCCGCTGCTGGAATATTAGTTTTTTTAGGCCTACTTGTTTTTTACAGTGTAGCATTCAGTAATGGCTCGCAGAGTGGACAATGACTGACCTTCCTGATCAGAGGGCTCATGCTCTGTTAAATACAAATCAAATTGGATTACCTGAGGCCAAACTATAATAAAACCAGGCTCTGTGAGAGAAGCACAGTGTATGGCATATGAACAGCGTTGCTAAATATTCATGTTCTGCATCCTGTTTAGCTGGGAAGGATAAACACTTATGTGTGAGTCTGAATATTTCTTTTTACTAAGAAAGAGAGAAATATTAACATATAGACAGCAAAGCCAGTGGCAACAATCAGATGAAAGAACAAAGATCGGTGTGAAGTGAAAATGAACCCAGTTTCTCTCTACAAGGAGCAACTGAACATATGTTTTTTGTTTGTTTGTTTTTAGTATAGGGCAGCTGGTTCCCTTAACACATTTTACAGACAGTTAGCAAGAATCATTCTTTGTGTAGCTATTATCATTACAGAAGAGACTAAAGGATATTTTACAAATACTACAGAAACACTATAACCCTTACAATAATCTTATAAATATTACATATTATAGTGATACCATAAGAGATAATGACACAATAAATTATTGAGCCTCACAGACACAAAGCAAGCCTTTACTGATGTCTTAATTTTAGTCTGGAAGCCTGCACAGTGGACTACTAAATGTCTCTGGGATGTAATACAAAAACTTTATTGTGGAAACGTGTCACAATAAGACATAAGAAATATAAAAACATTCATAAAAATAAAACTCATGATATACAAATATACAATATACAACATCACATTAACATACTGTGTAAAAAACTGCAGCAAAGTCAGGAGCACCACTCTGTGTGCCAGTCTACCAGATCCTGCTTTCATTCATTACTGTGACAGCTTTTGTGTCAAAGGATTTCTTGAAGATATTTCTGTTAGCCATCTGTAATCTGTAGCCTAACGTCTGCTTGAAGGTAAGAGCTCAGATTCACTGTGCAGTGGGTGAGAGGGGTCTGTAATAATTCTGTCAGCTTTACTTCTTAAGAGTTCATCATACATACCTCTTAGCTGCTTTTCCCTATGATTTTGGTGGCCACTTCACTATTTTCTGCAGCTTATTCCTCCTCTCAGTGTTCCGAGTACCATACCGCATGATCATGTTAAATGATAAAATGCCTTCCACTAGGCTCTTATACACAGTTACCAGAATATTTTGGCTCACTCTAAAATTGTAAAAGTAATAGCAGAATGGAAGAAAAGAAATGTATATTTACAGAATGCAGGTTCAGTAAATTTTATATAAATAGCTTCCCCAAGTACACATTCCAGACCAGATGGTGGCAGGACCGTGCTTTAACTGGCTTCGAACACAGCGCAAAAATAAATTAATAAATAGAGGAATTAAAAGAAGAAAGGAGAAATTCAACGAAGATGGTATAACTGCAAAGAGGTAAATGGGCTGTCCCGGAAATGTCGGAAATAAATTCCAGCTTAATTTGATGAGACATTGGTTAGTGAATGACGAATAATGTTCCTATTTTCAACAATAATAAAACAACTACGTACACACAACATAACCTGAGTGACGCATTTTTCAAGCCTTGCACGTTGCACTGCGCATGTCCAAAATAAATATATTGTATGTTGACGATTTCAAGACACTGACGTTACTTAAAACGTTAATAGCACACACAGACACCAGGCAGGATACACAGAACTGTAGTGTATCTCATTGTATCAAACCAACCAACCAGTCTTCTTTTCTGAAACCCGAAGCAAAGACGGAAACAACAGTAAGAGCTCCTCTCGTATCCCAGTTGCTCTCTGCAGCGTCAGTTGGGCGTGTTCACGGACTCTCCTGCCAGCTGAGGTTAGAGGAGCTCATAACTCAGATATCCTGCCGTCAACTTCACAAAGTGCTGTTGCTTCACGGTAAATAGAAACTTCGACTTCTAAATAATTTACGTTAAAACCAGTGGAACATAAGATAATTGGTAATTGCGGTAATTCCGAGTTTCTCTGACTTTGACAGAGTATCCAACGTTATCCGTGTAAATTAGCTGAGCTAAAGCTAAAGTTAGTTAGCGTTAGCTAGCTGTTCAGGGGACCCAAAGTACGTCCCAGTTTAAAAGTGTAACGTTACTGTTATGACAGGTAACTGACATGATGCTAATTTTCGACCTTAATGTTAATGTTCATACTGTAGCTCGTTAACTGTTAGGCTAATTTACCCAATCTTTGAACTTAAAAATGTCACATTTAACGTTACTTACTAACAGTTAGCTAACGTTAGTTGGCTTTTTAAAGTTCAGAGATGTCATTGTGAACGTATGTTGCTCTTGTACAATCATTTACACCGGATCTATTTTTCGCAGTCTGGGTGCGGCGTTGCATTTTTCCCACAACAGGAATGTTAAGTGGGGTTGGTGGGTGCGCCGCTACCTTAACTAACGTCAAGTTACCAAGAAAAAACAGGACATGCCATCAACCAGTGCTGCTGAAGCTAACGTTAGCTACTGAAACTGAAACCGCTTAACATGGCATAAACATGACGGGCCCGAATAGTGAACGACGTTTGTAATGATTGACATTCACATTATAATGGTTATGCACTGTATGTGATGTTTGCTTGTTGTATGCCGTCTACTCCTGCTTTATGATTATTGTCTTTAATGGTTCCATTATTATATTTTCACAAGAAACTGGAGATTCTTGGGATTTCTGAGTCAGACCTCTGCATAGTGCCAGACAATTGACACACACTTTCTTTACAGAGGAAAAGGTGCAGCATGTTGGAATTAACGTCTGTTTAATTGATATTGTCAGATTTCTGACTTGAGAAATGTTCTACTGCATTACACTGCTGCCATTATTCTGATCTACTACTCCATAGACACTTCCAGAAAACCATGATCCCATTGCAATAAAGTCTTTAGTCATGGAGTGTGTTCGTGGTGTCAATCTTTTTCCTAATTTATATCGCATTTTGCATTCACAGTTGACAGAAGATGTTTTTTGCCAAAAAGTTCATCGGTGGCATCATTGATGTTGTCAGGTGAGAATCTGCACACAGTACCTGTCCCAGCCCAAAAAAGGTGTTTTATGGCTGAACTTCTCTCTTCATTTTTGATCCTCTTTGTAGCAACATCGACCCAGCCCAGTTTGTGCCTTCTGACCCTGTGAGTAACAGTCATTGCAGTACCAGTCCTATATCTCACCGTCACTGCTCTTCTAACTCTGGATTGTAATATAATGTTTGCTGTTCCTCTGTCCCGCAGCCTCCACCACGCAGGCCAACTGTATATGCAGAGCAGCATGAGAACGATGAGGAGAAACAGTTTCGCAGAGTCTTCCAGCAACTCGCTGGGGATGTGAGTGATCTGTCTACCTGTACTTCTCTTTGAATTTCTGCAGTTTTCTGCAGTAACCACACACTATATATACATATACCATAAAACTTAAATTAAAAGCAGGGTCCTACTTAAAAGCGGGTCCCTTTACTAGCCTGGTGTGGCTGAACCATTTAATAGTATTTCCTATCTAGAGTTTTGTGCAAAAGGAATTAAAGGCCTGTCCCATATATACGCCTGTTCCAAATAAAGGCACGTTGAGTTCAGTGACTGAAGCAAATAAAAGCCTAAGCTATTAATTTAAGTTTTATGGTATATTGTTTTTTCAATAATATGCAAGCTTCTAAGTCTAAAAGGTATTTTAACTGTTCAAAAAATGTTTCTCCATCATCCATTTTGTAACACCATGCGGTTGGCTGTCTGTATAGCTCTGTGATGTTTACACTGTTGAATGTTTGTCATATATAGGACTTGGAAGTGAGCCCAAATGAGCTGATGAACATCCTGAACAAAATCATTTCAAAGCGTAAGACATGTTTGTGTGTGACACAGTTCATTGTGGTCTGCCTTTACAATATGTCTTTAAAAGAGATACAACATTGTGAATGACTTTCAGGTGACGACCTGAAGACCGATGGATTCAGCATTGAGTCTTGCAGGAGCATGGTGGCAGTCATGGATGTATCCTTTCTGTCGTTAGGCTTTAAGTGTTGTGTAATCCAGGTGATAGTATGAAGCTGGCAGTGATAGTATAGAAACAAAGAACATATACATCAACATGCTCTAAAAAGGGGTGTGTCCATTACACCCACAGCTCATCAGGGCTGTGGACATTGATTTAAACGTGCTGTTGGGAAAAAGTATGGGATCCTTGATCCCAAAAATGTGGTCAAACTGTTAAAAGAGCTCTGAGACTATGCTTGGCTTCTGTAAGCAGAAGGTTCATAGCTCTGTATTGTAAGCTAGAAGCAAAGCTTTAATATGTTTTATTAGTAATCAATATGAATTGCATATTAAGTAGAACACAGTGTGAATGGGAGTTATGGGATTCTTTCATTTGTAGTGTAAACCCCAAAACTGCAGTCTTGTGTGAACAAGTCAATCTAAAAGTTGATAGTCATTCTCTGCTATGAATAAAAACCACATGAATGAGGAAGGCCCGTAACAGTACGCCTTTGGCAAATACAGCATGCCCACAAGTAGTGCAACTGCTTGTCTAAGCTGGAGCCAAAGAAGACTTGATGTCTGTTGTCCTTAATTCTGAGTCAGAGCGACAGCACTGGTAAACTCGGCTTTCACGAATTCAAACAACTGTGGAACAATATCAAGAAATGGCAGGCAAGTACAGCAGCCCTGTTTCATTTGAACGACACATCTGTTTCTGTGCTGTTACATTCCTGTGGCCAGTGTTAATCATCTCCAGTTAACAGTGGACACACAAGGAACTGTAGCTTAAAGCATATACGGTATCAGCTGTTGAGTGATGTTAGGACTTTGATTTAAATGTAGTGTGCCAAAGTCCTCTTTATTTTAAATAAACTGCCACATTTTAAATAGACATACATCTGTATACTGTGTTCACTGAAGGGCACACATTATTAAATTGGCTACATGTGGAACAGATAATTTAATATCCTGTCAAATGAATCTGATATGACACATTTGGTTCTTGTTGAATTGAGCCTACAGTACAAGAAAAACATCCACTCCCCTAATTTCAGTTATTATTTTTCAAAACAAATTTAAAGGGATTTCTTATATAGTTGTTACAATTATATTGACGTAGGTTGTGTCTTTTACTCTTTCTAGGTTGTGAGTCATCTTACTAGGAAACTTTCAGATGCTTTAAATACTGTTAATGTCATTGTTTAGGGAGTGTACAAAGCCCATGACAGTGATGGCTCTGGTTTTATCAGTGCAGATGAGTTGCCCAATGCTTTCAGAGCTGCTGGTGAGTTTTTGATATATTTTATATATACTAAAAACTATATAACATATAATATGTATATTAATAACTGCCACAGGTAAAGTGATCGTCATGAATGCAGTAAGAACTTAGAAAAGTGTTTTTGTGTTCATGTTTTAAATATAAAAAAGATTGGATTTGGATAGTTGTTTCAGAAGCCTAGCTTTAAATATGATCATTTTATCAAATGGGGAATTTGTGAGGTGAGGTTTGGCTTAGCTCCTGCTGGCATCATTTTATTATCTCGGCATGACCAGTGAATACTATTTAAATAGATAAATTGCTCAATCATTATTCCAGGCACCTTGATAGATATGGGCAGCCAGTCAAATATAAGTCAAATGTTTCTGAACTCTATAGAAAGCCTCATATTTGAGCTGCTGTGTAATGGATAGAGGGGAAATGTGATGTTCACATCCTGCGCTGTCACAAGCCTCTCATCCATGAGTAGTTACAAGCATGCTTCAGTGCGGTGATACGTAGAAAGAGAATAGTTACTGGAAAGATACGTTGCTGTTTTTGGGGGGGCACTTTGAGAACTACAATGGGGTGCAGCTGTTGCTCAGAAGGTAGAACGGGTCGTGCACTAATTAGAAGCTGGTCGGTTCAATCCCTGGCTTCTCCTGCTGGATATCAAAGTGTCCTGAAAGTGTCCAAAGCAAGATACTGAACCCCGAATTGCTGTGTGTGTCAATGTGAGTTGTAGTGATAAGCGCTTGAAATAGTTGGAAAAACTAGCTAGAAAGATGCTGTATAAGTGCCGTCCATTTACCACAAGCTGAATGCTGGAGAAAAGGCAGACATCTCTAGGGCTTTTCAAAAGTCAGCAACTCGCACCAAAACGATCTCGCTGGATAAATAGCTGTACACGTAAGAGGAAGAATATGTATTTTTTATTTTGGGGTGAACCATCTCGTTTTAAGGATTAGAATATGATACCTGTACACAGTGCAGTCTCAATCGTATGTACATGTAGCCTTTGTGTAAGTCCTGTGTAATAGTGTACAGTTGTTTCATCTTTTCCTCAGGCTTCCCCCTCAATGAACAGCTGTTCCAGATGATAATTCGCAGATACAGCGATGAAAATGGGAACATGGATTTTGACAACTACATTGGCTGCCTTGTGAGGCTGGACGCCATGTGCCGTAAGTTTGAAACACCAGTCCTAAAATAAACTGATTTACTTGTTGGTTTAGCAGCTTTATCTCTGTGATAAGACTGATTGACTCATAAACTGAAGGTGTTGTTGTCTTAATATCTTGTCTGATTCAGGTGCCTTCAAAACCCTGGATAAGGATAACAATGGGACTATCAAAGTCAACGTTCAGGAGGTAAAGCAATTTCAATTTTAAATATCAGCGGGGTTTGGCTGGAATTCAGTTTTTTAAAAGCATTTGATTTAGTTGATAGGAACAGTTTGCTGTTTACATAAAGTAATCTTCTCTGCTCTTGTTTCTTTTCAGTGGCTTCAGTTGACCATGTACTCCTGAGTCCAGACGAGGTCTCTCCTGCTTGCTATACAGAACCACTTTGTTTGTTTACCAGTACAGAATATATTCTCAACCATCCCTCCTGTTATTCAGAAAATCCCTTGTGTGTGCAGGTTTATTTAGAATGTTAATGCCATGAAAGTGTTGTGGGATTGTTCACTGCTCCATAAAACTTGGAAGACAGAATTTATACTGTAGTACCAACCCAGAAAAGCACAAACCTGCACTCACAATGGTATCTGTAGCTGAGGATCATAAACAAATGCTACTGAATATTTTTTGCCAACATTATTAATAGTATGTTGAATTAGTGTCATTTGGTCCAGTTGTTGGGCATTTTTGCTTTTGATCTGCCTCACGTCCTCAAATCAAAAGGGCACGAGAGGAAACAGGCAAACATTAAGATGCCGAGAAATTAGTGAAAAACCTAATGTGAAAGCTCCAATTCCTGTGTGGCTGGGGGCTGGTTTCACAAAGATTGTATGTTAAAGGGGTCTGTGGAAGTTTTAGTTTTGCTGTTTGACTAAATGCTAAAATGACCTTGGAAAGATAACCAAAAATAATAAGTGACATTGTTTTTCACACCTTCTGACAACTGTGTCACGTGCTGACAACACAGGAAAGCCTACTTCACTCGTTGCTGTAAAAAAAAAAATCTTCCACGAGGAACAAGTTTTCTGTCGGAGTGAACAGAGTTTAACAATGTAGCTTGGTTGTTTTTTTTGCCGCCCACACAGTTTCTACTCCAATTATATCCTTCTCAGAACTGTAGGTGTGTATAGACTGCTTGATTGACATCTCCGTCTCTCGCCTGTTAACTGTGTTACACCTGTCGGGACGGCTCAATGTATGTACATTCATAATAGTGCGTGGGATATAGTGACCTCGTAAATTCCCAGAAAATCTCCACCCACTTTAACCTGATCAGAGGATTAACCTGTTTGCACACTAACTGAAAACAAGAATCATTAGGGTGCAAGTTGTCCCACCCAACATTTTAAACACAACCAACAGGATGTTGGGTAAATGGCGATCAGTCTGTACATGCTCATGCAGCCCTGAGAAGTCCTTTTGGGTAGAAGTGTGGGTGGATAATGTCTTTACATAGATTAGACTTTGAGATAGACAAGAACTAGACATGTAAAGTTATACATTAGTTGGTAGAGCCCATGTTGTCTTTGTGAAACCATTCCCAAGTTTACTGACTGCAGATTCTTATTCTTGAAAACAACAATGTGAGAACATTAAATAAAAATAAGGTTGATGTTTGAATCATGGTACACTTGCATCATAGCCTATTGCAAGTAGATCATGGTTTAACGATTAGCACACTCCATTATTTTGCATCAGAGTTGTTCTGTTACTGTATATGTATAGCAGTCAGGAATCCCAGTGTGTATTGTTTGGGTGGGCTGTTATTTTTCCATTAATTGTTTAATGCTGGTATTGCAACAAGGCCAGGGCATTGTCTGTATCTCAGCTTACAGATTACTTTTATTATCACTGTGCACTTATTCAACATGCCTGCACCAGTTGATGCCAGCACAATATGTAAATTGATAATATATGACGTGTATTCCACTAATGCATGCAGCCAATAGTAACAATGCCATTATTATGGGTTTTTAACCATGTAGTTATAGCCACGGTCATTGATCGGTCACTGTTACTGAAAATGCTTGGTAAAATAAATACCTGTGTCATGTTTGGAATAAAAGGGGTATGTTAAATGTGTCTTAGTTTTATACCTGGTGCCCTACTGCTAACAGTTGTAGCTCTACTTGTAGTGACAAATTTCTGGACCATTCAGATGAACATAAAATAGGAGCCAATTAATAAAACCCTTGCTCAAATAGGGAGCTACAGCAAAGATTTTGCAATTGAATACCACTTGCCACTTAGGTTTTCTTTAAAAGGTTACGATGCTTCAAAGCTCCAAAATCACAATCTCCCTATTTATTGATTTACTTTTTTAAATTACCATTTAAAATCTAGTTCATTGTAAAGTAGAGTTTTTCCTGGGAGTCTGGAGCCCCTTGACCTCCTGTTGCAGACTTTTGGGTGTTAATTGAGATTTCAGCACCTGGATGAATATACATATGAAATCTTGAGACAAACTGAGATAACGGTACCCTCCACTGACAGAAAACCTGGTGCATTCAAATAAAACCAGAGTATTTTTTGAGATATATTCTGCATTGTAGCTACGTCAACAGCATACTAACTTAATGCAGTAAATACCAACGACCCTTCGCGAGGGAGGGGCTAGGAGCCGTTGAATCAAAGACTTTACACCACATTGGTGTTCCTGAGTTAGACCTGATGGTTGGACCTGTTTCCTCTGTGTGTGTGTGTG